TTTCTTAAATTAGCAACAGTAGTTCCTCGTGATATGATGTCGGAGGGGTTATCTTTCCCACGGCAATAATGCCAATTATTGCTTTCAGTTAGTTTCTGAATTTCATAAACTCTGTTTTTGATGAAAGATTTAAATCTTTCGGGACATCCCTGAATCCAAAAATACGTTATTTGAGAATCAGTCCAGTGGAAGGGGATTACTTCGTATTTTAAAGATTTTGCTATTTTATCACTCAATCTAGCGGATAAAAGCGCACCCAAAAGCTCCAATCTAGGAAGTGTAAGGGATTTCAGAGGTGCAACTCTACTCTTGGAAGCAACAAAAACTGTTGAAAGTTCCATTGTTCAAAACTATTCTCAGATATACCACGCATCCATAAGATTTCAAACTAGCATCAGAAAAGCTATGGAGTTCTATTTGTTTCACATCACATCTGCATCTAATATTCCTTCTAAATAGTAGCGGGGAATTCTGAGGTGGTTCAGTTCTTCAATTCTTCGTCGTACCAGGCTTTCCATTTATAACTAAGATCAGGTGGCAGTTCATCGTCCCAATCAATTTTGGCAGAACCAGATTTCCTGAATCAGACACTTTATTCTTATAGTGAAAGGGCCATAAAATCCGACAGGATCAAAAATACGCCTGCGGTTTGCAATAGAAAGCGTTTTGAGTTGATTGACGAGGAATGAAATTGTCAAGTGCTGAGTGTCAAAATAAAAATTATCATTATCCGTATCCCAGTTAATTCCTAACACTTTAATTGGGACAACTTCAGGAGATTCTTGCATCGAAAATTCTTTGCGATGCCAAATATCTTTGAGTTCTTTGGAATTAGTATGCCACTTATGTAGTGACATGCTAGCTTCATTAAAAATGTTCACAATTTCTAAACTTGTTTTCAGGGCTTGTTCTAAATTTTGTTGACCACCAATAATGTCATCAACATACAGGCAGTTCTTTAAGAGTTCTACTGTTTCAGGATATATTTCTGAATATTTTTAAGGTGATGCTTAATAGTAGCAGCTAGAAGAAAGGACTAGATTTTACTCCAAACAAAACTCTTGTAAATCTACAGGTTTTCAAACTTTCATTGTTATCATTAGGATCATCTTTCCAAAAGAATCGTGTAACGTCCCTGTCTTCTTCATTTAACTCTATCTGTAAGAATGCTTGTGTAATGGTCCGCTGTAAAGGCATATCGAATTTTGTCTAAATTTATCAATAAATCAAAAATATCAGGATATAGGTTCGGACCAGTATATAGACAGTCATTTAGAGAGAGTGTTTTTTGGTTTATGGGCTGAAGCATCATAAACTATTCTTAGTTTGCTTGTTGTGCTCTATCATTTTCTGATGACTGCTCTATGAGGTAAATAAAATAGGGTTTTATCATTTTTGATTGTCTTCTTGAACGGTTCAATAATATGTTTTAACTCGTAATCCTTTAAAACCTCTGTGTATTGAACAAACAAAGAGTTATCAATTTTAAATTTGTTACTCAAGTTTCTTAAATCTTCAAGTGCTATATCCCTATTATCTTCCCTTAAATGTTTTGAATTCGGTTTCCAAGGTAATTTTACTTGGTATCTGTAGTTCTTATACCTGATATCAGATTCGAAAGATTTCATAATTTCTAAATCAACAGTTTGGTCGTTTTGAGTATCACTTCCAAACCCAAGTTTTCTAGCTTCCAAACTGTGTAACTGATCTGATATCAAGTTTTCATTTACAATTACTTTCATAGTTAATAATTCACTATGATCATTATTTACTTTACCCTGCAAACACCACCCAAATAAAGATTCTGTGGCTACTACATTTCTTGAAATTCTTTTAATTTTACCAGTAATTATAGAATAGTAGACATCTACCCCTATGAGAATATCAATTTTTTTCACTTTTTCTACAACAATCTGCTAATTCTAATTTTGTAAAATTTTATTTTTCTTAGCAAAGTTCAAATCTGGAGGAGAGATAACAGTATTGGATATATTTTCGGTTTCAAGAAGCTCAATATATATATTAAGATTAGGATCGTTTACATTTTTCTAGTTTTTGCTCTAACAACATTAAAGGTTTTTTCTAACGCACTTTTATCACCAAAGGAATAAACAGAAAGTGATTCTTTTCTAACAATCGGAAGTTCCATTTTAGTAGATACATCTTTGGTTATGAAAGATCTCATTGAGCCATTATCAAAAAGATTCTGACATTTTCAGATTTATCATTATTTCGGATCAATGCAGAAGCCGTTTGTAATAATATTTTATTATCTATTTCATCATCGGAATTATATGACGAAACAGCGGAAATAACGCTCGAATCCGACGTTTTCTTTTCAGGTTTTTCATTATCTTTTTTCTGATGGAACGAATAACAAAAATGGCTTTCGAGTGTTTTATTAAAGCAGAAGGCACAGTTTATTTTTTGTTTACAATTTTGAATCCGGTGAAATCGACCCAGGCAACAAAAAAACACCAGCGCTTCCTTTTCAAAATCTCTTTTTTTCTTTTCTACACTTAAAATTTCGCAATCCGCAGATTTATGATTTGAACCGTTCGACACCGCAGAACAGACACTGCGATTCGGCTGACGCCGCTAATAACTCAACTGTAGACGGCTTGCTTGTTATGGCTGGAGAATGTTTATGTTTGAAGGGCAAATTGCTTTTCCAATCGCGAATATTTTCTCTAGAATTATAATTAACAGAAGCCGCGCGTTCTCTACTGAATACTTCGTTCCTCAAAAAGGCTAACAAACCTTTAAATCCCAATTTTCGTCTTTAATTTTCGGTATAATCAAGAAGAATTCATTAGGAAGTAATTTCAAAATTAAAGGCGTTAAGAGTTCCGTAGGTATCAGAGTCTATTTTAATGCTTCAAGATTTCTTATCTGTACTTCGGCGTGATCTAGAAGTTTTCTTAAAATCCGTTTATATCATTAGGATTTCTAACAGGTGAAGTACTTAAGAGTTGCCTAAATGCGATATTAAGATGTTCTTTGAAAAATCTGGAACGTAACAGTTGAAGAGCAGCTTCGTAATTTTTTTCGATGAGAGCGAAACAGAAAGAGCTTTAGCGGCTGAGCACCAAGAAAGCTTTTTAAGTAAATTAATTTTTCTATTTTTGATAAATTCGGATTTTATCAATCGCATTTTCGAACTGACCTATGAATTCTAACCAATCCGAAGAATCACCATAAAATTTAGAGAGTTAATTTGGAAGACGAGTGAATTTGTTACTTGTTTGGGATTCTGTAACGGTTTAATGAAATGTCTATTTGCATTGTCCGAATTTTCCAAGTTATTCAACTTTTCAACTTTTCTTTCCTAAACTGCCACACTTGTATTTTCTCTTCATATTCCAAAGCGGATGAGATTTCAAGTTCAAATTCGTCTTCTCCGACTTTTAATTCTCGTCTATTTCAGCGTCTAAATTGCTCAAGGATTTTTCGTTGGTCTAAAATTTCTTCCAATACATTACATTATACTACTATCATCTTTATTCAGTTCGGTTTCAATTTTCTTTACTTGGGGACACTCGGTCCTCAGTACCTTTAGTTTCGATTTCAGTTTAGCATAAAATCTTCCATATTATATAAAAATAGAAAATACAGGCTTACTACCTTGGCTGTCTTCGCATAAAATGATATCCAAAATTTAAAAACACAAACTTCTAAATTGGCCAAAGGTTCGCGGCACCGATGCGCCATATTGCGAAAGGTGGTTCTAATTCTAAATGAAGTGAAATACTTCAACAATCTACAAAAATAATCATTTATTTACAAAGCAACTTCGTTGCATCGAAGGTTCACTGCTAACTAACTACGTCGCAAACTAAAAACTAACATTCCTTTTCAGAAGCGAAGCGCCCTCTAACGGCGATACATAAATCATTTGGGGGATTTTTCCACAGAAGTAGCACCCATTCCTCCAACAGAGCATTTTTTAACTCCTGAATGGTTCTATGTGGGGTGGCGCATTGCGGTAATTCTCCCAAGAGCATCTCAAGCATTTCCCCAATGGGATTATGGTTAGGAAATCTGGCTGGTCAGTTCATTCAGAAAATATCCTCGCCTTCCAGATAGTCGTTAGCCAGGTGGGCCCTATGTGGTCGAGAACTGTCGTCCATAAATATGAACTCAGAGCCAACAACACCCCTGAAAAGTAGCACCTAAGACTATAGGATCTCCTGCCTGTACCTCTGAGCATTTACGGAACCAGTATCAAACACGTGGAGCGGTGTGCGGGTGCTTTGCATGATCCCTACCCAGACCACCATTCCTCCAGCACCATGATCATCCTTTTCCATAACGTTGCTGAGATGGTATCGGATCCTAAGTTCCCTCCATATCAATAATCCTCGAGAATGAGGTTGTAGACCGAATCTTAACTCATCGGTGAAGAGATCACTGAAGCTGTCTCCAGTGTTAGCTCACTGCAGCTGTCTCCAGTGTTGTTGTTGTATACACCATTGTAAACTCTCTATTTTGTGGACTGAGTGAATGGGACGCAAATAGTGAGCTTTATGGCATATAGTCCTGTCTCATTGACCCTTCTGGCAGCTGTCCTCTGGTAATAAAGCAAAACTCCATTCTTCGATTCATTTATCTTGCTTCTACCAGCCAGCAACAGAAAAGAAAACTTGTTTTTCAGTTATGTTGCTCTCATGTCCTGTAAAGGCAGAACTATTCATTACCTTAACACAGAAAAAACATTTTTTAACTGACGCATCGTTAAACTTTACTGTCTCTAAGTTAATTTTAAGTCGAGTAATATGATACTGAAGTTGAAGTACTTTTTGGGCTAGTCTGTATATTAAGTAAATAATAAGTTATTATTAATATTTAATAATAATAAAAATTTAACAAATGATAGAAAATAAGAATTAATCTTTTCTGCATAGAAATTTCGAATATCTTAAACTAACTCTTCTTTTTAAATATTTACATCAATGTTATTATGTAAATTTTCTTTATAAATATTATTTTATACTTTACAGATAGTCATAATTACTCAATGGTTCGTGTATGAACCTCCCGATGTCGTATCATTTGCATTTGATGGTAAAGTATCTGTTGTATGTCAGAAGACGCCAATAGAAAGGATAGAATATTTGTGTTACGTAATGTTTCTTCTTTTCCTGGTTATGGTAGCATCGATAAGAGCACGCTCCCTTCAGGAAAATAACAAAGAAGCCGTATACATAGGAATCTCGCTTGCCTTCTCATTGGTCTTCTGGGTTGCTTGGGTCTCAGTTTGCCTTATATTCGACAGAAGGTAAGCAGTTTTTTTTAACTACATTTTGTAAAAGAGAAGATGATAATTTTGTCATATATTTCATTTAATATGTTATTGTTTCAAAAGAATTAAAAAAAGATTTATTTTAATATGCTTATAAGAACTTTTAAAACTATATATTAAAAAGATAAATTTTCAAGGAAACCGATATTTCGAAACACAGCCTTTTACTTCTGTTTCTTATTAGTTTTTAGTACAGCGAGCTAGAGTTTTTAGTACAGCACACCTGCAGAATGTGGTACTTTTTTATGTCGGATGTTCTATGCTGGTTTTATGGATGAAACTTTTGATGATTCTTTTTATTGATTTATAAAGTAGAACTTTGATTATACCATTGTGGATTATTCGAAATGAAGATTAGCGGCCGAGCGGTAACGTCGCTGAAAGTTCAGTCCGAGTTCGAATCCCGCGAACGGGCTGGCTGCATTGGTGTTTTCGTGGTTTTCCCCATGTGTAACGTGTATACGAGCCAGTTTCCCTTAAAAAGTCCTCCACGAAGGCATCCCTCCCTTAAGGCAGGTAGCCCTCGAGTGCTTTGCCGTAATCTAATAAACCAAACCAATCGAAATGAAATTTTTTTAATAAATGACATATTTTTTATTATTATTAATAATAATCAAAAATATGTCATTTATTAAAAATGACATATTTTTTATTATTGATCAAATCATTAATAATATTTTTCGTTTCTCGAAATTTTTTCCTCACTTGAGTTTTGTCATAATGAGAACTTTGACTGCAATATATTTCTTAAAACATTTTCTACTATTTATCTAATTGAGAATATTTTTATGCATTCCTTTGTGTTTATCTTTAAATTAATTTTTATAAAAGGGTTCATGATTAATAATCTGGCTCAGTCTTTAAATTAAAAAAATAGTACTGCGTTTCGTTAGGTTTTAGTTTTTGTATTCTGCATTAAGTAGATATAATGCGATTTAAAGCAAAATAACAACCGATTAGAATGCACTGCAAAAGCCACACCATTAGTATTTTAATGAGTTGTTTTTTAAATCTAAATGTGGTATTATGAAAAATACTTCCGTATTAAATAAAATTTCAAGTGCAATTTTCTTACAATATGATTTTCTTTCTGCATTCAAAGACTATTTAGAAAACGTTCTACTTATCAGGAAAATAACTAGCAGAGTTCTTTTATGAGTCTTTATAATTTTTCGTCAAATATCAGTTCTTGTAACAATTATCTATTTCAACTCGAAAAAAAAACATTAAAAGATGTTGAACATTGTTTGCAGCAAATTTATGATTGTCTATGTTTGTATGCAAATAAATGTGCCTTGCTTATAAATATTTTGAATATAATCTTCACGTTTTAACTTACCTTTCTATTTATTTCTTTACGGTATTGTTAAGATCTGATTTATTTTTCTAATATTCAAAGTTTACGAATTTCAGTTTTTTATCATTAACGTACACTAACTACTGTTCATTCGCTATAATTTAGCAAAATCATTCAGGTTTTTGTAAATATTCTTTGCGAAAATTGTCCTAGAACCTTTAACTAAACCTTTGACTACTTGAGTCTTTCAAGCATCAGTTCGTTTTCTCGTAACTTTCAAAGAAACGTTAACATTTTAGTCAACAAAAAAATTTCAGATTCTTTATGAAATCAAATTTGAAGAAAAATACTTCAATAAGCCTTCAGGAACTTTGCTTTAACATTTTTGCGCCTGCAGGAAAGTGAGCTGTGTCTGATCGTCCTGAAATTTGGTAGAATTTTATTCAAATTCTAAGCCGAACTAACCACTTATAGTTTTGCACGAGCACCGTTCGGATGCAGCGAAAGAGGTCTTCCCTGATTTGCCTGAAATGAAATAGCTGAATGATAGCATTAGCATACACACTGTCTTTTTATAAGCTTAATATTTTAGCTTCATGTTGTAAGGATTATGTTAATTTTATTAACAGTTAAATTTTAAGTTAAAGTTCCTTTCCTGTCAAATTCTTAACTTCAACTTACTATTTCCGGCTACAACGTAGTTTTGGAATCTTGCTGAATATTTAATGAGGAGGAGCGGTATTTAAACCAAGAAGTTACTTACTGAGTCAGAGAGAATCAGAGTTTCTGATTTACGCTCGTCTACCTTTTTGGCCACTCTATCTCTCAAAGCTGTTATTACGCTCGGCCGTACTCAGGCCCTTGCTAAGCGTCGTAGTTAAATAAGTTAAGGGGCCAACTCGATTTGAACCTTGATAGCTTCGGCTATACTTCTTTAGTTAATCTGCCCACCAGCGGCCGAGCGGTAAAGACGCTGAACACTGGTAGTTCGGTTCGAGGTTCGAATCCCGCGAACGGGCTGGCTGCATGGGCGTTTTCGTGGTTTTCCCCATGTGTAACGTGTATACGAGCCAGTTTCCCTTAGAAAGTCCTCCACGAAAGGCATCCCTCCCCTTAAGCAGATAGCCCTAGTGTGCTTTGCCATAATTGAATACACCAAACACCAATCTTTAGTTAATCTTAGTTTTAGTTTAATTCTTAGTCTTTTAAGTTCAAGTCCAAGTGCGGGCTTTGCTTGTACACTCCCAGGCGGAGTTTTTTTTAATCTTATTGGAATAATAAAGGGTTAGTTACCCTTCTAATATTGTTGTTTCTTGTCACCGAACTCAAGCGATTATTCGCTTATCAGTTCTTAGATTCTTCACTTCCAACATTCACTTAGAATTCCGAAGTGAGGAACTCTACAATGTAAACTAGCAATTGAATTCTTTGAAATTGATTCTATGACATGTAATTTAGTTGTTTGCTGTTATTGCGTTATGATGTGGAAATGTTTTAAAAACTTTTCTTCTTTGAAATAATTCCCTCGTCTAGAAAAATACATCAATACTATTTTCCTAAAATCTGTAAAACAGGACAGGTGTAAATTAAGCGGTTTAATTTATAAGTCCACATTATTAAGCAATGAAGTGTAAGGTTTGTTTCGTTAAGGGCCTTAGTAAATGAATTCCATTTATTGTAGTCCCAAATGAATTACATTCATATTCCCAGATTTTAACAGAATTTATTTTTTTAAATTTTCTATTTTTTTTTTTTTTCAATTACGGGCAGAAATGCTGCTTTAACAATCTACAAGTATTTATTCCGATCAGATTCAAATTTAATTTAATGTACTTTCTATTACATTTTTCAGCATAACATTTAAAAGGTAACGTACTACAGAATTCAGATCATTCTACAAAAATTAATTTCTAACAATGAAACATTCACATAAGCTAAAGTTTGCAGAAACCAAATAGCATTATCAAAATTATTATGTTTTTAAACCTATTTTAGATGTCTCTTGCATTCGTTAACAAATAATTTAAGGCATGTAAATGGTTGCAAAATCAATAATTTAAGCCACTAACATGGTTTAAAATTTAAGTACATAAAGATTCTCGGTCGTTTAATAAGTTTTCGATTATCTCAAATGATAATCCTAATAATTATGTAAATGAGTAAAACACATTTAATTCTCAGTCCACCAGCGGCCGAGCGGTAAAATCGATGAATACTGGTAGTTTGGTCCGAGGTTCGAACTCCGCGAACGGGCTGGCTGCATGGACCTTTTCGTGGTTTTTTCCGTATGTAACGTGTATAGGAGCCGGTTATTCTTAAAAAGTCTTCCACGAAGGCATCCCTTCCTTTAGGAAGACAGCCCTCGAGGCTTTCCCGTAATTATATAAAAACCAAAGTCTATAAAAATTATATAAAACCAGTTTAGTACACATCATATGCATTGTAGACTTGTGATCTTACTGGAGATAATTTCTGAACATATGACATCTACGATTGATCCAAAATCACGGCTACTCCGAAAGCAGTTAAAAAATTACAAAGAAAAGAAACCATAACTATTAACAATTAATTTGTACATTTGATTTTAAGAAAATTATTAAAATACATATGTATTTAAGCAGTTTATTTTGAAGAAAAATTTCACTTGTTTATCTAAATAAAACCAGCTATACACTTCAAAACAGAAAGACGTTTTAACAATGTTTATGCTTTTCATGTTACATATAATTAAATTATATACTGTTCTCGATAAATTCAGTTCTTAAAATATTTAATACCTTTGCAATTATTACTATTATCCCACACCTTGTCCTCTCTCTTTTCCCCCGCATAAAAATTTTTCCTTGTTTCCTTACGACAGTAAATTTAATAAAAAGGCGAACGCATTTTTAACATTAGGCTTAATTTGCAACCCAGTTTATCTTGAGTTGATTATACAATTACGTCAAATTTAGATGTAAGTTACTGAGAATACATATAAATCTCGCAACGTTGAGTATGCTTGGCGGAACATTATGCTTTCACTTACAGCGATCGGTTCTTCATTCTCATCTCTTAGATATAGTTAATGCTATTTGAATGGCATATTTTGATTCTGTACAGCGCAAAGTTCTTTATACGCGCGTTTTGGGACAATAAGTGCCAGCTGACAAACAACGGTTTTCTAAGACAGTGTATAGAAGTTTCTGCTCAGTCAAATTGCTAATAGTCAATTGAATTTTCGATTCCGTCGTTGACCCTAGTCATTTTCTCTTAAGGCCAATGTCGTGAATCGCTAATCAACTTCCGCTGTTACTACGGAGAAAGTTTCCGGTTGCGGTTTTGTAAAATGGACCAAAACACGATTTGGTTCCTTTCAGCGGGTGCATCTGCTTCTGTTGAAAGCACTGCCAGGGACCATGTTGGTTGTCCAGGCGGCAATTATTGAATATTTTCTTAATAATACGTTACATAAGCAAACAAGGAAAAATATCGTACAATATTTGTAGTACACATTTGAGTCTGTATATGAAAGTAAAAAGCGTTAAAACATGCTATCACGGTAACAAGGAAGACAGTAATTACAAAGAACATAGGTATACTTGCACGAAAAAAAAGGGGGGACAGCTCTATATCTCTAGATCTACTGAGCCGATTTACGAAATTTAACTTGCATTTTTCATATCTTGAAAGCCCGGCT